ATGACAGAGGCAGAGTGGACACATGCTCGGCCATGACAGAGGCAGAGCGGACACATTGCCGGCAACAGGGAATAAAGGAGGCGGCAGAAGCAGCATTGCTTCCCCGAGGCTTTAGATCTGCACCGGGTCTCCTCCCCTCCCCTAGCTAGTCCTTCTGGGAAACACTCTCACGGCCCTGCCCAGAGGCTGAAGTCTTAGCTAGACCTTGATCCAATCAAGTTGACAAACCGAGATTAACACTCACACCTTCTGTTGTCTCTTTCTTCTTGAGGGGTTGACAAGCCCGTGAATAAAATCTTTGAATTTATTTCCATCCTGCACTAGATAAATCTTTAAAGGGTTTTTAACACATTTACTAAGTATATATCAAAGAAGTTGAAACCATGGCTTTTGAAGAAATACAAAGCATTTTTCTTTGTAGATAAGCATTAGATACACCAAGTGCCCGTTGACCAATGAGCGAATAAACATTGCAGTACCTGTATTATGGGATATTTGGCCGTAACGAGAAGTGAGGTTCTAATACGTGCTGCAGGGTAAGCCTGGAAAACATGCTGGGAAAAGCTAGGCCAAGCTACCTGTTAGGTGAACTTATTTCTGTAAGATGTCTAAAATGGGCGAATCCAGGGAGACAGAACCCAGATTGTTAGGGGCCTGGGGAGGTGGGTAGGGAGGCTGCTGGTGGATATAAAGTTACTTTTTGAAAAATACAAATATTCTAAAATTAGGGGTGATAGTTGCACAATGCAAATAAACAAAAGTGCATGAGGATACAAGTTGAAGAGGTGTTTTTGAGACAGTCTCAGAGTTGGCCTGGAACTCTGTGAAGCTGAGAATGGCCTCAAATGCAGGAATTTTCCCTCTATGTCGTGAGTACTGGGACTGTAGGCATGTACCATCACACTGACCTCTGCAGTGCTGGGAACGGAATCCTGGGTCCCACACTGAGACGTACACCCCCATCTCAAAAACAATAGTTGAAATTTTGTTTCAAATTATTTTGATCTGTTTTTGAGACAGTCTTTCTATGTAACCCTGGCTGTCTTGGAACTCACTATGTAGAACAGGTTGGCCTTGAACTCACAGAGGTGCACATGCTTCTGCTTCCCAAGTGCTGGGATTAAAGGTGTACACCACCATGTCCAGCTTAAAACCTTGTTTTTAAAAATTAATTGTCCTAAACATCAGTTAAGAACCATGCTGTGTAGCACAGTGTTCAGTGAGTTTAAACTGTGTCTCAGCCTCGATCATGGGATGTTTGTTTTTGTTGCATTGTGACAATGAGAACACAGGGACTTGTAGGAGGATGTTAAAAGATATGACTGTCCAGGAATATTTTCACTGTAGCTAGCATTTAATTTAAATTTAATTTTTTTCTTTTAAAATTAAAATATAATCACATCACTGTGGTGGTTTGAATGAGAATGGCCCCATAGACTCATATATTAGAATGGTCCCTAGTGAGTGGAACTGTTGGGGAAGGATCAGGAGGCGTGGTCTTGTTGGAGGAGATGTGCTGCTGGGCATGGGCTTTGGGGTTTTAAAAGCCTCCTGCCCTCCCCAGGGTACCTTCTGTTTCCTGTTCATGAGCTCTCAGTTGCTGCTTCTGTGCTCTGCTTCTTTACCTGCTCCCATGCTCCCTACCCACAGTGGCAATGGGCCCTTAAGCCTCTGGAACTGAAAGCCAAAATAAACCTTTCCTTCCCTTAGTTGCCTTGGTCATGATGTTTTCAATCACATCAAGAGAGAAGTATCTAATGTAATGATTTCCCCTTCTCCCTCCCCCCCCACAAGCCCATGTACCCTCCTCTCTCAAATTTATGGCTTCTTTTTCTTTAACTGTTATTATGTACGTATTTTAATTTACATTTATTAAAAACGACTTTCAACTTGGTTGTGTATTAGAATAACTTGGTTGTGCTTTAGAATTCCTCCTGGAAATCTTGTGAAGTGTAAGTGCTGGCTTTAGCACAGACCTGTGGGTTAGAATTTCTCCGACGAGCACCAGCACTAGAGCCAGAAGAACAGATCTTCACACTGCGGTCTGGCATCAAGGATGACTTGCTGGTGAAGGGGACAGAGGACAGACAGAGTGAGCCTCTTATGGGGTCACCAGTGAGCAGCTCAGCCCCATCAGTAAGGACCAAGCATCTCAGGAAAATGATTAGTGTATGAGACACACATTTTCATGACAAAGATGGAGCAGTAGCAAATACTCTTTGAAATCAAACCACAAGTTTGAGGGTTTCATCAGCATCCCATATGAATCTTAACACCTTAAACTCCATTAGGTGTGAGTTCAGCTTCTCCTGGGACCAGTCACTATAGCTAGAGAGTGCATATATGAAGTGGAGAATCATATCTGTGGAGCCCGTGACGGAGATGTGCAGGAACAAACCCCTAGAGGATGAGAAAATATAAACCTGTCCTTCGTTTCATTTCCTGTTGTTGCAATGAAATACTTAAGGAGAAGAGGGTTTATCTGGCTCGTGGTTCAAGAGTACATAGTCCATCATTGTGGAGAAGGTGAGGGAGTAGGAACTGAATTATTTCCATATTCACTCATGAAGCAGTAAGTGATGGATGCTTGAAGTGCTCATCTTAATTTGCCCATTTGTACCTACCAGGATCACCTGCCCAAGGAAGGGAAGGAAGGGAAGGGAAGGTGATATTCTAGATTCTCTTAAATTGATAAGGTTATTCACCACACTAACTAAAATTTCACTAATGTGAAATTTTAATCTTCTGAATAAAATCATCTTTATGGAAAAAATATCAGATGGGAATTTTAAGTTAAAAATAAGTATAACATTGTGTGATACACAAATAATATGCTTGGTATATATTTTGTTTTAAATGTATAAGAGAAAAGATTAAAAATGAGTGAACTGGGTGTTTTACCCCCCGCAAACCAGACAGAGGTATCTATATAAAAGCAGGAAAAGCAGTACAGACTAAAGTAAAAAATCTTAAGATAAAGGACTAAAAAAGGCAGTAGACTTAATTAATAAAACAAAAAATAGTCTTTGAAATGATCAATAAAATAGACAACTATTTCAATTATAAATACGGGTATTTTACATTTTGCAAAGGGGTATGTATAATTGTCATTTTTCAGGTCTATATGAATATGGAATTTAGAAAAATACAGTTTATTAAAATTTACTTCTAGAGATACTTTAAAATCTTAATAGATCCAAGGAATAGGAAGCATTCAGAAGTCAACCCTACTTCACCTAAGCCCTGTGTTTACATGTAGGCCTCATACATTCATAAAGTAGCCTTCCTGTTGGAAATCTTAAGGTGTGGGAAAGTGCAGGGCCTCACAGTTCTTTAGGTCGTCTAAAGATCTTAAAAGCTGCTCTCACTGTGAACATAGGAAGTCCTAAGGGACTGGTTGGCCACCCCAGCACGGCACTGAGACACCGGGCCTGGCAGGGCTTACGCTGCAGATTCAAGGGACTTTAGTGCCGTGAATGGATGCATGTACTGTACTCCACCATGTCACCGGGAGGTTTAGGTATGAAGCCTGGGTCCCAGCAGCACCCACAAGTCGTGCTTGGCCACCTTACGCCAATTACAGAGTTACAACCAAAAACAGGGTAAGATTTACTCAGTGTGGCCACACCGGGAAGAGGGACGAAGGGATGGAGTACACCAGGAGCGGACATGAGGAAAGTTCTGATCACCCGCCTTTCAGATCTAGGCACTTAGAATGCTCAGTGGCAAGTGCTAATTGGCCAGATCTTTCTAGAAGTCAATTTAGTCATAGCTATCAATATTGAAGGATTTGACTCAGCTGTTCCTATTTTAGGAAACTCTACTCCAGACACATCTGAGCCTCACTATAGAGAGGAATACACCAGGAAACATGGTCCTATCTGTACAGTACAGTCTTCTGAGGAGGAAAGGAAAACAAGCAGGCAAATAATACAGAAGGATGCAACCTGAAACGGCCCTCGGCGGGGTGGGGATAAGCCATGTATGAAAATGATAGAGCTAACTCATGGCTCCAAGGTGAATAATTATAATTGTGTAATCATAGGCATAACAGTTATGTTCTGTATCTGTATTTACATATAAATAGACAATAAAGGACCCACATAACTGCTGTAGGTCTATCCTCCAAATAAGGATGACCACAGGAAGGGCAGGGCCTGGGGTGAACGCTCAGATTCAGTGTACATGTCAGTATGCTGCCTGATTCATACTAAAATGTGCTTCAGTAACACTTTCTGCCCCAAATATATGTTTCTGGGCATTGCGATTGATTCTGGAAGTGAAAGAGACAGCATGCCATCTCCAGATGAAGCCCTCAGAGACGTGGTGAACTGTTATTTCTGGTGATACAGAGACCAGCAAGTGTTTTTGCTAAATATGACTTGCTCTCCTCAGCCATCGCCTATCATCTGCTAAGCATACAACAAAAACTGTTAAACCATTAGAATTTTAGGAGGTTTTGTGGATCCCAGGCATATTCCTTGTCACAGGTTAAACATCGAATGCCCTGGTCCACTTCTGATGCCTGGACTTTCCTTGTGTTCCCCTAATTGCTGCAACCATCAGCATAGCTTTGTAAGGCAAAGGGTTGGTGGAATGGGGTGGGCGGATGGAGAAGAAAAATCGGGTGAGTGAGAAG